TTTTTTTTCCCCCAGTTTGGAAAAGAGAAGGCTGAGAGGGGACATGATAGCAACTTTCAAATACCTAAAATGGTATTACAAAGAGGAGAGAAAAAAATTATTCTCCTTAACCTTTGAACAGGAGTTAAGGGGCTATTTTACTTTTGTATTTGCCACTGGTGAAACCACTACTGGAATATTGTGTCCAGTTCTGTGTTTTCAATTCAAGAATGATGTTGCTAAATTGGAAAGGGTTCAGAGAAGAGCTATGAGAAGGGTTAAAGGATTATACAGTATGGATAGAGTCAAGGAGCTCAATTCAGTTAGCTGAAAGAGAAGGTCAAGGGGGGACTTGACTGCAGTTAAGTTCCTACATGGGCATCAAATATTTGCTAATGGCTCTTCAGTCTAGCAGGGAGAGATATTACATGAACCAGTGGCCGGAAGCTGAAGCTAGCCAAATTCAGACTATAAATAAGACACATTTTTAATAGAGATGGTAATTAACCATTGGAACAATTTTGCAAAGGTGGTGGTGGATTCTCCAACGTTAACCAACGTTAAATCAAAATAGGATGTTTTTCTAATAGCTGTACTCTAGGATTTATTAGGGGAAGTTCTATGGCTTGTGTTATACCGGAAGGTCAGAATGGATGATTTCAGTGTTCCCTTTAGGTCTAAGAATCTATGAAAAAAATGCTAAATGTACATTCATTAAGGAAAACAATTAAACCCTGTGCATGTCAGCAAAAATTACCAAAGTTAAGTCTCTGACCACTTTTCTTTTTTTGGCCCCTTTAAGCATATAGTGCTCATGCTTAAAGTTAAGTATATGTTTAAGTGTTTTACTGAATTGCAACCTATATACATTTCTGGATTCTGCTCACTTAATGTGGTTTATTTTCTATTTACCATCTGAGATTAACCCATTTTACAAATTTACAAAAATATTACACTTGCTGCAAACATCTGTGGTTACAACTCAGAGATATGGAACTGGTCTGATTATTTATTTAGTCAAGAAAGGCACTATTTTGGTATCATTTCTCTATTGAATTGTACACCACGTATTAAATGTCAAGTGTGAAATCCCTGATATGTCAGAAAAATCACTATAATCACATCTTACAAAATGTTTTATCCTTCAGAAACAATCTGATGTGTAGGAGGTTTCCGTATGTCTGCAACATGGTGTGAGGAAAACAGAAAGTGCAAAATGTGTTGTTTAGGTTAAGAATCGCTGCATATTAAGAATTCATTTTAAATATATGTGAAAAGAATTATTATGAAAAACATACCTCTCCTTTACTGAATTAAACAGCCAGCCTAACTCTTAGCACCAAACTGAACGTTAAGCAATATTTCCTTGTAACAGTTCCTGTATGGGGATCACAAACAAAACTTGTTTGTTAATTGTTGACTCCATATGTTACAAAATAATCAGGGGTTCAAATCTAGATATCACAATCAGTGGAGAACTCTCATTCATTTCAATACCAACAGGATTTGACCCACAGAGGTAGCTCCAAGAGAAGCAGCGGATTCTGACTGAAATTCTGTGACCTGTGCTGACATCAAATAGCTCCTCAGAAGCTCTCCCACACAGCAAACTTTGCAGAAAAAGTCTGCAAATAGTGGGATTGTGGCTTGCCTTTCCAATGCAGTCACTTTAATTTCAGGAAAATCAATTCCATACACCAGAGACACTGTAATGTATGTGTATGCACACAAATATACACATTTATTACAAGGTAAATATTACTGTAAACACCCACGTTATCTGAAGTGCACTGTGTAGAGGCATAAAGCAAGCTCGATTAATTAAATTGTTTTCTTTTTAGTGTTTGCAAATGAGCTATATATGCATCCTGGCAGACGGTAGGTTAGTACTAGAAATTACAAGAAAGAGTGGGGTTACGTCTAGACTGTAAGCTTCTTTCAGAAGAAGCTTTTCCGGAAGATCTTCCAGAAAAACTTTTCAAAAGAGAGCATCTACACAGCAAAAGCACAACAAAAAAGCAATGTATTTTTTCGAAAGATAGTGTCCAATCAATGTGGATGCTCTCTCACATTTCAGTTGTGATTACCATGAACAGATGGCCACCAGGGCACCCGTACTTTTTCCTGGAGGCCTTTCGAAAAAAACCACTCTCTTCCGTGTCCACACGCCTTTTTCCAAAAAAAAAAAAAAAAAAGCTCTCAGAAAAATACTTCTTCCTCATAAAAAGAGTTTTACCACGGTCAGAAAAACCGGTCCATTCTTTCAACTCTCTGTCAAAAGAATGCAATAGCAGTGTGGATGTAGTTTTTCTGGAAAAACTCTGCAGTGTAGACATACCCTGGGAAACAGAGAAAAAGGCACACAATTTCCTAAAGCTGTGATATTCACAGCTCAGGAGCCAAATTAGTGATCAGCGTGGCCCAAAAGAGGTAGAGTAGTGTGAATTAATGGTTTCGTTTCCTATATATAGTATTTCACAGCAAAATGACTGATCAAGTATTATTAATTTAGATTGGTTAATAATTAAGTTACACAGTGTTTTACTATCATGTGCTGCAAAAAGCTGCGAGACACATGGAAAAGTTACTTGTGAATCCTGAGCCTCAGTCTAAGTATCACTGACTTGGATTGTTCAAGATGGTTAGAGTACTTTTTAACTTCGGTGTATTATGATAGGAGTTTCAAATTTAGCATAGAAGGCTGGGATTTTCAAGAGACCTTTGAAAATTTAGGGTAGAATTTTCAAATATGTCCAAGTCACTTAGAAGCATAAGTCTCAATAAAAATCATTGTGAGTTGGGCCTTTTTGCATCATTAACCTTTAGCTGCCCAAATCCATTAAACTTCCCTTTGGAACTGGGCACTGAATTCTCTCAAACCTTTTGAAAATCACAAGATAAGAATTTTGGCCTGGCTTTGTAAAAGTGTTTAGGAATTGCTGCATGCAGTGTTGCAAAACCCGCATGATTTAGGAGCCTAAATCTCTTATTTTCCAAAAGATGTTTAACCACTTAGGAACTAAAAACTTCGTCAGTAAGATATTGGTTGCTGAATGCCTAAATCCATTCTGAAAATGAGATTTAGGATTCTGCACTGCAATGTTGAATGCAGTTGTACCTCAAAACCTTCACAGATCTGGGCCTTAGTGCACCTCCAATGTAGTAGTAGTAGCTATTAGAAATTATTGGAATGTTCCCACAGGGTCTCTACACAGCAATTAGTCCTCTGGGATGTCCCACAACTCCCCCCGCCCTCGCATTTACATAGTGCCAGGACATGTGCTAGGCACTGCACAAATAACTAAAGCGGACATTTCAGGGTAGGCTCATTTTTTTTTAAATTAATAAGGCAACCCCTGCTCCCGCCACTGGAACCAAGTTCATAGATTCAGCACACCTAAGGCTGGAAAGGACTATTGTGATTATACAATGAAGGAGAAAATCCATGAGTGGATCTTTGGAATTTTCCTCCTGCTGTAGGTTTCACTGAGTAAGGGAACCAGCTGGCTTTGTGCTGCCCTTTCCTATTAGGAGCTGTCTCTCCATTGCCTCATGCTGTGTGTTGCCATCTACACCTGTGCCAAATAAGAGCAGACTGAGTACAGAAGCTGTCAAATCAGAATAGCAGTGTTTTACACCCACTTTAAATGCACTTAGCTAGAGCTGCCAACTCTGACAATTTATTCTGGGAGATTTTTTTCCCCAACATGACATAAGGCCATTTTCTTAAAATATCCTATTAAAATCCCCCAGATTGTCTTCAATAGTCACCTGGAGATTGATGCTGATTCTGGAACAGTTCAGGCCAATCCTGGAGGGCAGGCATTCCTACACTTAGGTTGGGTGTAAAAAGCTCCACAAAGCACCAGGGCTATGGAGAATCAAGGCCAGCATGTTCATACTGTCTTCTAATCAGCATTTCAGAAATGAAAGGCATGGAAGGAGAGTTGATGGAATAATGCCAAAGCAGATACATGGATATATTTGCAAACAAACGAATGGGCTCTGCTTCACTGCTAGGCCTGAGATCATGTCATTAGTTATCCATAAACATCTACAGCTATTTATAGGAGTCTACATGTTTCACAAATTTTAGCACAAACAGATCTCTGAAAATACATCACAGAAAGGCCTTATTCACTGTTCATTCATCTGTTTCAGTTATCCAATCAGTGAGTAGACCAATGCTAAGTTATCTAGATAATTAATCATATCTCACAAATAATGACTGGCTAATAGTCACTATGAACCAGTTCCCAAATAGTGGCTGAAAACTGAACATCCATATTAGATAACAAAGAAAGTGCATTCTACAGTCCTAGAAACCAGGAGCGGTATGATGGAAATTCACAAACATAATGGGGGAAAAAAATTGCAGTGGGTATTATCTGCAACTACTAATGTGACCAGCTCTACCCAAAACCAACCCAGATTACAAAGAACTTGTTCACTAAAATAAAATGCAGCTCTAGCAAGGAAATAACTATCTTTCTATTGGGGTTGCCTGAATCTCTCAAATACCTTATATGTCAAAACTTAATGCAGTTATCTGGGAGAACAGAAGATTAACCCTACATACAGAAGTGTAAATGCATAAAATAACATCTTTTATATTACTTACAGATGTCTACCTTACTGAAATCTGCCTGGAAAGATTTTTCTTAATTTAATTTTTTTCAGTTGTTGTACAGCCCTTGGATTTTAAAAAACAGTCTTATTTCAGTTTTATTTTATATTCTCAGAACATATAATAAAACCCGCTACTTTTGTTAAGCATTCAATTTTGCTTTAAACATCATTTTTTTTGTTTTGTTTAAATAAGGGAGTGTTCTGTTTTCCCTATAGGTTTCAGTGGGAACATACAGTGCCAGTAATTATTTCTCACATCAGCACCCACATCCATGCCAGCTGTAACTCTAGCTGGAGTCATACTGATCTCCTAGCAGACTGCATGCAAATTCCACATGCTGGGATGATAATATTTAGTCTGTACCTAGAAACAAACCTGGTGGTGCATGAGTAATGAAAACTGCAACATTGAAGCAAACAGCATGGAAGTGCTTACGCACCCAAAAGGAAAAAGAGGAAGTGGCAGCACAGATCTTGCTAAGGACAATACAGAATACATATTTGCAAATAGGCCTTATGATTGTTACTTTTAATGTTACTTATATCCCGAGGCCCTAGTTTGGATCAGGGCTCCATTTTGCTTGGAGCTGTACAAACACAAAGATGACATGTTCTCTGCCTCAAGCAGTTAACAAAATGCGTGAGAGGAAGAGACTAATGTGAAAAAATAAAACTGAAAGGCAGAGTCTTTACTGGTAAAAGCCTCAAGAAAATATAGAGTAGGGCAAAACAGGAAGGGTTAAACTGTAAGATGCATGTAGAAGGCCAAAATGAGAACTGGATCATCCCTAACCATATAGGGCATGAGAGTAAAAAGCTAAATGTGAAATCAAGCAGTGCTAATCTAGGCAGCTCAAGGAAAAGATTAGAATGGAAAGGCGAGAACAGTATTTGGCTAGAAAGGAGGATTAGATCTAAGTGGGAACAGAAAATGTAGGAGACACGAAGTAAATAAAAGAATGATCACACAAGGCAGAGTTCAGCTAAGCTGCCTCCTGCACAGGACTGGCCTTACCTGAGGCAAACTGAGGCAACCGCCTCAGGTGCCAGATTTTTGGGGGGGGGGGGGGGGGAGGAGCGCCACTAGGACCCAGAGTGTAGAAAATTGTGTCTGCTGCTGGTGTATATGTATTCTCTCTGCTCTAGATGCACAGAGATGGGGGAGTGCCATGAGAGGAGTAGAACAGGAAGAAGGCAGAATTGAGACCTTTCAAAGTTTTGGCCCAAGCAAAGGGGTATGGGGGCATCATTTGAGCTCCCTGCCTCAGGTGCCAAAATGTTGTTGGCTGGCCCTGCTCCTGCACTTCTGATCCTATGAGGTTCCTGCTACAGGAGTTTTGAAAAGCATCACAGCGAGTAGGGAGGAAGCAAGATAAGCATATGAGTAAGAGACAACCACTTTATAGATATCTGTCTACACAGTAAAGAAAACCCACTGCCAAGCCCTGTGGTTCTCAACTGGTGGTCCATGGACTGTCTCAAAAAGGAGGAGGTCCATGAACATTTTTTGATTGGCCTGGTGGTCCATGGACTGAAACGAGTTGAGAACCACTGGCCTAGCCAATGCCACTGGCTCAGGCGGTTTCATTGTTGTGTAAACATCTAAGCTCAAGATGGAGCCTGGGACTCCAGGACCTTATGAGGTGGGAGAGTCCCCCCAGCTCATGCTCCTGAGCCAGCTGGCATGAGCCAGCAGTGGGTTTAGTTGCTGTGTAGCCATGTCCTCTATGGCGCGTGCTGCATTTCAGCTCCAGTGAGACCATCAGTATAATAGTTACCATTCACGGACTCAGGTTTTCCCTCCATAGCATACTCTCTGTATTGAGAGTTGGGGAAGTGGTCAGCCAAGGAGCTTGATGGGGGTCAGGGTTGGACAGGATGCTGTATAATGGTTTAGGGACTTTGTGGATCTCCTGAAATCTTTTTCAGGAGCCAAATTCCCTGCACATCGCATGGTGCATAGGGGAAGAGCTAATTTGCTGATAGTACTGCAATGTAATATTGTAACACTCTCCTGCCAGACCCGCATCTTATACTTACTTACACTCTCTCTCTTTCTTCCATGATTGCAAAGTAGAGGGAAGCAAAAAAGTGCTTTATATCATTATGGGCCTGTTTTGTGCTTTAAACAACACTAGTGCAACTAACTTTGAAAATCAACTTAATTGGCACAGGGAGAATCATAATGCAGGTGTCCTCCAGGGACCTAGAACTGAGATAAAGGCTTTCCCCCAGCCATCCTTTCTCTCCTCTACCAGCAGAGGCAGGGCAGAGCATTGTTTGAGAGAAGGGCCTGTGGCTCGGATACTTGGTTGCAGTTTAGCCCCAGTGGGCTGTTGCAGCCAACTATGATAGAGCAGCCCTCAGACTAGTAACAGCAGCAGGGAATTTAAATCCTTTTGCACTATTGCCCTGATTTGTACTCCGCAATATAACTGCATCTCAGGCCCTGTCCCAGTACCTATGAATGACATTGTGGTCATGGATATTTTTAGCAAGCGAAGATGGAATGGGATTGGAGTGTAGCGAGGGCAACACCTTCCTGACCTTTGAAAAATCTTTAAATGAACTAAATAAGTGGGTTGTGTGTTTTGTTTGGGGCTTACTCCAATCAAAAATAAGCACTTCCCAATGGTCTGATTTTTACATTGACAAGATCCTCCTCACGCTTGTCTTAGGCTTTCTGCTTTATTCATTAAATCAAAGCAGCCTGAAAGGAGCAGATTTTCTAATCTTATAATTTCTAATTTTATAATCATGAATAGCAGTGAGTACAATTTTTGCATTTGCAGTTATTGGCACTTCATATTTAGTTTGCTTCAGTTTCCAGGCTCCTGAAGAACTGATAGAAACAGGGAGAAAGATAGCTAACCGAGCAAGTAAATTGAGAGATAATTACATTTATTCTTTTGCACCCAGAGTGTGGGTTAATAACTGGGTAGATAAAGTGACTAACAAAACGTAAATTGAGAGATAATTACATTTATTCTTTTGTACCCAGTGTGTGGGTTAATAACTGGGCAGATAAAGTGACTAACAAAATTGAGATCCAGAGAATAAGTTGGTGTCTTTTACAAGATCCACCTGGCTTATAAATAAAAAATTGATACATAAATGTAATACTCCTATACTGAAGAACTAACTTTAGAATTAGTAAAAATATGCCATCTAGTGGTTAGTACTCTGGGCTTTACCAAAGAAAACAGTAAATAGCACAAATGACCCTCTCAACATGGTAAAATGAAAAAAAAAAATCAAGCCCTATTTTTGTTTCTTTCAGTGCTTGTAGGTTTACAGAAGAACCAAGCAGCAAGGCCCACAGGAAATACAGTCCTGTTAATACCCTGACGGGCAGATGGCAAGAATGGTCAGACCAGCATATGATAACACAGAAGCTGAATCCTTTCAGTGAGGAGTTTGACTATGAACTGGCCCAGTCGACACGCCTGCACAAAGGAGATAAGGGCTATGGTCATCCTAAAGAGGGTACGAAAACTGCTGAAAGGGCCAAGAGAGCAGAGATTCACATTCACCGGGAGATAAGAGATATGTGCTTTATCATTGCAACAATGGCTCAACCAAGGCGAGACGGCAAGATCCAAGTCACCTTTGGGGAGCTCTTTGACAGATATGTACGGATTTCAGACAAGGTTGTTGGGATTCTCATGAGAGCTAGGAAACATGGGTTGGTGGACTTTGAAGGAGAAATGCTATGGCAAGGAAGGGATGATCATGTTATAATTACGTTATTGAAATAAATGCACAACAAACCCATGATGGTAAAAGTTAAAATGTCCCAGTTTTTCCATTTCTGCCAGTTACTGCACCATCTAATAGTCAACATTTTGATTATAGGAATTTACCATGACGTTGGAAAGATACTTAACATTTGTTCGAGAGTCAGATGTTTTATAATTACTTCTATGACACCAAGCATTCTTTTGCTATCCCTTTTGTATTGTGCCTTCTAGTAACAGAATTTGCAGCATTATATAGTTATTTACTACTCAGGCAAGGATAGATGATGAAGAACTGGAGTGAATATATGTATTAAAAGCATCAAAATAAATATAAGAACATAGTGGCAGAAGAGATGGCTCCACCTCAAACCCAGCCCTGAGTTGTTTTCACATACAAGATTTCCCCCTCTCCCTATATTAACTAACGTAGAAGGGATTTGGGGAGTTAAAGTGAGTTGGATCAGGAACCAAGGATATGAACTTTAATGTGTAGTTTATAAAACTGACCCTTCAGACTTGTCCTGTATTTCATAATTAAGTCAGCAAAACTATTTAAGGGCATGCAAATAGAATTTGAATGTACGGATATCAGCATTTACTACTAAGGCATAGGATATACTACAGTTATTCCCTATTCTAAGTATAGCAAAATACTACTGCAGAAATTATGATATAGTGACTAACTGACAAAGGTTCATGTTTTAATGGAGACCCATGTATTTGTGAGTTTTTCCTTATACTTCATACACAAAGTAAGATGAAACTGATCTCTTATACAAAGAGGGTTTTGTATTTAAACTGTTCTATGTTTATATTTTTAAAAAAGAAACAAATGGAATGGTGGCATTCATCCCCTATAGAAAAATACTGAACACCAGACTTAAATGCATAGAGAATATAGAAATACATGAGAATTACTGCATGATACTAGTATACAGAAATGATTTTCTATTCCATACATCAATACATATTTCCTGGGGGAACAAGTAGAGAGTAAGTGTATGGCGCTAGACATTTGTAAACAGCTTTGTTACAGAAAAAGTACAAGATCAAGATGCAGGAATAGCAATGGTAGAGATGTTCTCCTGTAGATAGAGCCTACTCTGTGAGTGAGGAATATATGAGCAGTATTTTTCCTAAGTAGAAAGAATACATCATCTGTGAGAAAGCTGGTATTTTATAAAATGTTCAACAAAATATGAGCTTAATTCTACAATTTGTATTCATAGTAGGTTGTTCCAGTGAAATCAACTGCATTATTTCAATGCGATTAAAGACTGCAGAATTAAGCAATGTATGTTTTAGAGAAATGTTTAAAATGGTTTTCTATGCTGTACTATAGTGTAGATTTCTATATTGTATATAATGCTTATTGAATTATATAGACAGTGGCTTCTCAAGAAGATTATGACTATGTAAATTTCTCACATTGCACAGTAAGGGCAGAATAAAATGTTCATTTAGGAGGAAAAAAATTAAGGCAAACAATTTACATACAGTTACAAATGAGAACCTGAATGGTTTCCCTTAAGTTTCTTTCAAACTGAAAGATCAAACATCTTCTTGCAGAAGAAAAAGGTATATGTACATTCTACCTTAATTTGGTAAACCAAAGAATTGTTAAGTTAGCAATAAAATACAACTATTCTAGTTTCAACTTCCTACTAGGCATATTTTTTGTTTGCAAATAAAACAGACCTCAAATTTTTACAGGCAAATAATTCAAGAACCAAATAACAATATGCTCCTATAGTACATCTTGTTCTAAAAAACACACTTGAACCTCAGTAACATGGATGTCCCTAATCCAGGAACACTGTGGTACAGACCCTGGCAGCAGGAGGAGAAAGCGGCTCTGTGTGCTGCCACAGCCCTTCCTCCTCCATTTGGAGGAATGGCAGCACAGCACTTATTTAGAAGCTTTTCCCCTGATGTTTTGATAGTGGTGGGGAGTGATGTTTGGGAGCGGGAGGGGGTGAGGAGCCATGTGTGCCCAGGAAGCAGGGCAGCAGGCAAGCACCCCACGCCCATCCCCCTCACGCACTCTCCCTGCTTCCAGACTTCCCAACCTCAGCACACTCCTGCATCCTCCCTCCCTCAGGCCTCATATGTATTACTGTCTTTGTTACATATGAAATAAAAATTCAGAACTTTTCAAAAATGATTTTATTTTCACCTTCAAAACAAAAAGTATACATGAACACTCATGGTCCACAAAATTCGATAATCCAACAAAGCCGATTTCCCAAGACTGCCAGATTAAAGAGTTTCAAGTGCATTAACATTGTAAGCAAGGTAAATGTGCAGTTAGCTGTGATAAAAATATATCACATTGCAGGTCTTAACCAATGGTCTTTTTGTTTACAATGTGACTACTTATGCAAATAATAGCTGCAAAACTGAGTTCCAGAATACTGCATTTCATGTCTGAATAGTTATCTGCATATACAGGTTTCTTGCATTACCCTCCCTGGTTCTTCATAGGAATACCACAACATCTATTTAATTATAAATCATGTGTTTTGTCCTTTAAAAGGATGTCCTAATACAATACCCGAATGACAAGTAAAGTCTTACTTTGAGTACCCAGAGCTTGCTTGTTTTTTTCCTCACCACTACTTAGAAGAGACATACGTTATCTGCATATACAGGTTTCTTGCATTACCCTCCCTGGTTCTTCATAGGAATACCACAACATCTATTTAATTATAAATCATGTGTTTTGTCCTTTAAAAGGATGTCCTAATACAATACCCGAATGACAAGTAAAGTCTTACTTTGAGTACCCAGAGCTTGCTTGTTTTTTTCCTCACCACTACTTAGAAGAGACATACTGTATTTTCCGGCGTATAGGGCGACTGGGCGTATAAGACTACCCCTATCTTTTTAATTAAAAGATAGGGTTTCATCTTATACCCCAGCGCCCCTCCGCCTCCTTTGCTCCCGGTGTCCCTGATCTGCTGGAGATGGTCCCCGCAGACCAGAAGACACTGGGAGCAAAGCCGCAGCAGCTTTGAAAGCCTCGGGGGAAGCCCGCGGGCCGGGGG